TCTTCCCCTATCTGCAACAGGGCAGCAATATAAAATACTGCTAACATTCCTGCCAGTTTACTGCCAGTAAGCTGAAACTTTTCAGAATTGTCTTGGAAAGACAAGACAGGGACAGACCTTTTGGATTTTAGAGACAAAAGGCTGAAACCTAAGAGACAAAAGAGATAGATAGGACAAGAGGTAATGGTTTTAAACTAAAAGAGTGTAGATTTAGGCTAGACATAAGGAAGAAATCTTTTACAATGAGGGTGGTGAAACACTGGCACAGGTTGCCCAGAGAGGTGGTAGATGTCCCATACCTGGAAACATTCCAGGTCAGGTTGGATGGGGCTCTGAGCAACCTGGTCTAGTTGAAGGTGTTCCTGCTCAGTGCAGGGGGGTTGGACCAGATGACCTCTAAAGGTCCCTTCCAGCCCAAACTATTCTACAATTCTGTGAGTTAAAATGCACACACACACACTGCTTTTCCAGTATCCCTTTCAATCCTTAGTGTATTTTGCCACGGATCAGTACAGCTGAATATAAGGACTGTATTGAGTGTGCTTTCTACAGCATTACTGCAAATAAATCTGTAGCTTATTTTTATTCTTCTGTAATGGCTGAACTGAATATATGCAACCTTGTGAAATAAATGTACATTCAAAGCCCACTGGAAGTTCTCATTGGACTGTGGCCAGACACTGAGGCAGAGAGTCAAATACTCAGCTTCTGCAAGGAAAGCACCATTTTGATATATATTCAACAACGGAAGTGCCATTAGAGAGTGACGTTCTCGTTTCTCTGTTCTGCCAGTCCCCACTCCCAATGCACCCCTGTAACTCAGCTTTTTTTCCTTAGAAGTTTCTGTCTTTATCCACTTTGTTAAGCTGCAGTAACTCAAAAGCCCCATCTGACATTACATAATCATGTTACTTTAGGACCATGCAAGAACATGGCATTCTGGGAGCTGCTACTGCCACTACAATAACCACTGATTAGCCACTTGGTTCTTTACTCCCTCTCTCTTTACACACTTAATTTGTAATAATAATAAACCCCAACTGTTTAAAGATTCCTGCAATAGAAGCAAGCCTTTCAGAAAAAAAAAAAAAAAACAACAAAACCAAACAAAAACAAAATAAAGAGAGCTATTTCCTTTTCCAGCAGTATCAGCTGTTTAAAAGGGCAAATTTGAACACCATGGTTTAAGAATAACTAGAACACTACTGCAAGCCTGAGTGGGAGCAACCACTTCCTGAAGTCACCATACAATGAACTGCATGGAAATCCAGTTTCAAACCCACTTCCCTTCCATTTCAAATAGCCACTACAGCAGCTTCTGTTCCAAGACTCAAGAAAAATTCAAGACCTTACAGAAAAAAAATACTAAACAAAACAAAAGTGAAGTAGTAATGGATGAGATTTCTCTCACTTTATTCGTTACACAAACTTTCAAACAGGGGACTTCTACTTCTTCATAAATCATGTTTACAAACAAGGGAACTAAAAGGGGATACTCCAAACTGCATCCAGAACCAATGTAACTAATAACTATAGTCCAAAACTATCACTACCACGTCTTACAAACAGCACAGGCAAAGCTGTTTTTCTCTTTTTCCACAGCTCCTCTGCCAGGGAGGTACTTACACACCAAAGGTTACAAAGCACCCTCACAAACAACAGAGTTCTCCCATCTTTGATCAACGTAATGAACAACTAAAATTGCTGTCACCTCTGCTACAGAAAAAGTCTGGAATAATATATAACAGTTTAGAAAGATTAATGTTCATGAACCAGTTTGTTTATCTTTAATCCTACACAAATAAAATTTACAGTGACTTACTAGGCATCTTCTTCAGCCAGATCTCAGTAATTGTGCATTGTATACAGTTTTGTCAGCATGAACACATCTCCCTTGATATAGTTTACTGTTTTTCAAGACAGCATAAGTACCTAATAAAAAATAATTATATTGTCTACCTTTGGAAGATAATCACAACCCAGAAGAACAGCTAGCCCAATCAAAGACTCTCTGTCACAACCAAGCTTCTCCTTAATAGAGGACATTGTGTAACAGTCCAGATGTGGATCCTGCAAGAGAAATTTATCACACATTATCTCTGTAACATCAAGTAAGGAACTGCCTTGAGTCCTATTCATGTTCAATTGGAGACTAACAGTATTTAAGTATATTCATAATAAAACAAACCTGTAAGATGCAGATGTGTCAACACTGTTACTAGACCCAGGAGGCTGACCACTCCCATGTGTCCTAATGGTAAATTTATAGGAAGTCATCACCTTACTCAAATTCTCCAGGGGAGGGTGTGTGTGGGGGTGGAAATTATGTTTGCTCCTTAGCTTTATATTACACATCACAGGACACTACAAACACAGACATTAACACCACAGGTGTTCTTCAGTTCAGTAGTTTTGCTCTCACAACCAATACACGGATCACCAGCGAATGAAACAAAACATTTCAGTCTTAAACATACCATTTTAAACTCACCCAACTTCAAGAGGTTAAGTGTGATAACACTTAAGTAATTGTTTCAAGTCCCTTCCTTCTATTTCATTGGGTAAGAGGTTAAAGAGGGGTGAGCACAGGATGAGGGCCATTACCTTGGCATTCATGGCAAAGCTCCTGTAGACAGTCTGAGCTCCGTACAAGAAGACGTCCCCGTCGCCGGTGAGGCAGCCGTCCACCAGCCCGCGGGCCTCCAGGCAGGCGCACATGGCCTCCGCCTCCCCTGCCGCCTGGACCCAGGGCACGCCCACGCACTCCAGCAGCTCCACACACTGGCAGAAGGAATCCAACAGCAAAGAGAGATCCCATGCTGCATTAGAGCCACTTGTTACATGCATTTTCCCAGACAGAAGTGTATACAAAACCTGCTACTGTTTCAATGGCTATAGAACGCTACACCAGTGCAAGCACTACTTTAGGAGAAATACATTTTGCTGGAACAGTGAAAAGAAATATTCAACTAAGATCAAAGTATTAGTTACAGGACTTGAACACAGCATCATTAATGGTTACTCTTTCACACAAATGTTAACACTTCAAAAAGATATTTAGGATACTTTCCAAGAAGAGTAACAAAAGAATAGGTCTTTATGAAGCAACCGTTTACTCAAGCAGCAATACTGGGATAGCACAGACAACTTCCAACAGACACCAGACTCCTCAAGAACATCAAGCATGAAAGTACAGTTCTGTCAGCCTAATTAATAAGATGGGACCATGGTGCAAGACATACAGATACACATTTCTTAAAAATTTTAGAAAAAATAATCTTAGAATTTATTAATAAGACATGAAATGATACATTCAATCTACTGAAGCCAAGAGCATCTATAAATTCTATTTAATAAAATGCTGAATAGACAAATATGGTTAAATATCTGCAACAATGAATGAAGAAAATTACTGAATAGGAGGCCTCTGTAACCGGAGTTGTCTCCACCATCTACATCAAGATGACTACACAATCTTCCTTTTAAATTAATTCAGCAGGTTCATTCACACTCCATTATGGCTGTGCCTCACTACAGTATAACAAGCACAGGAACACATCAGATAAGGGAAGTATTCTAACTGACTTCTAGAGTATTCTAACTCCTCTACAATAACAGTTGACAGATGCTGTCAGGTCAAATTTCAAAGGCACGTGTTGCCTCAAAACTCACAGAATCATAGAATCATTAAGGT